ACCTGGCCAGTGTCTTCTGCTTGTTCTGATCCCTGGGCAAGGGGCGGTGCCCAGGCCAAGTGCCTGGGTGCAAGTCACTCACCTTCCACCTGTGGGGCCTTGTGTCCGGCAAGCGCAGTGGTCCTGTGGCCCCACTCAGAGCTAGTGGAGGAGAACAGCTGCTGTTTCCTGCGTATTTAGGTGGCTAAGCAGGCTGTCCCAGTCACATGGCCTCAGGCAAGTTCCTAACCTCTGCCTCTGTTTCCTCATCTATACAATGGGGAGAGCTGGGTATTCCCCTCGCTGGGACTCTCAGAGGCCTCAAGCTGTGAGGGGCAGGTAGGGGCTCTCCTGCTCTCATTTGTTGTCACGGTGGTCCTGGCAGATAGGGAACTGCCTCCATTTCACAGAAGACACTGGGGCCCCAAAGGGTTGGAAAATGGGCCAAGGTCAGAGCAGGAATTTGACCAGGGCCCAGCCCACCTAGCTGACCCCTGCTCCACATCCACCGCCCCACAGAACTGGAAATTACTCTGCGGACAGGCCTGTTCCGTCAGTGTCCCTTCTGTTCCTGGTTCTCCTGCCCCTATCCAAAATCCTTCAGCCTTCCAAAGTGCTGAGATTACAGGCATGAGCCGCCACATCCAGCTCTCATCTGTCATCTTTACTCCTGACCTAGTATGCCTCTCCCTACTGCCACCTCACTCCTCTAGGGGCTTAAGGAATCCCCACCTGACCTGGGGGCAGCTCCGGGCTTTGGTGATGCTCAGAATGGCCAGGCACTCTGATCACACCTTATCTTACCCTAGGCCTTTCCGGATTCCATCCTCTTGTTCCCTTCCTTGCTTTTTTTGTTGTTGTTGTTGAGACAAAGTCTCACTGTGACTCCCAGGCTAGAATGCAATGGCGAGATCTCAGCTCACTGCAACCTCTGCCTCCCAGGTTCAAGCGATTCTTGTGCCTCAACCTCCCTAGTAGCTGGGAATATAGGCCCACGCCACCATGCCTGGCTAATTTCTTTTTTTCTTTTTTTTTTTTGAAACAGAGTCTTGCTCTGCCACCCAGGCTGGAGTGCAGTGGTACAATCTCGGCTCACTGCAACCTCTGCCTCCCAGGTTCAAGTGATTCTCCTGCCTCAGCCTCCTAAGTAGCTGGGATTACAGGCTCGCGCCACCACACCCGGCTTATTTTTGTATTTTTAATAGAGACGGGGTTTCACCATGTTGGTCAGGCTGGTCTTGAACTCCTGACCTCGTGATCCACCTGCCTCAGGCTCCCAAAGTGCTGGGATTACAGGCGTGAGCCACCACGCCCGGCCTTTTTTTTTTTTTTTTTTGTATTTTTAGTAGAAATGGGGTTTTACCATGTTGGTCAGGCTGATCTCGAACTTCTGGCCTCAAGTGATCCACCTGCCTCAGCCTCCCAAACTGTTGGGATTACTGGCGTGAGCCACTACGCCCACTTGCTTGCTTTCTTTTTCTTTTTCTTTTTCTTTTTTTTTTTTTGGCGATGGAGTTTCACTCTTGTTGCCCAGGCTGGAGTGCAGTGGCTCGATCTCGGATCACTGCAAGCTCCGCCTCCTGAGTTCACACTATTCTCCTGCCTCGGCCTCCCGAGTAGCTGGGACTACAGGCGCCCGCCACCAAGCCCAGCTAAGTTTTTTGTTTGTTTGTTTTTTGTTTTTTGTTTTTGAGACGGAGTTTCACTCTTGTTGCCCAGGCTGGAGTGCAATGGCACGATCTCGGCTCACCACAACCTCCGCCTCCCAGGTTCAAGCGATTCTCCTGCCTCAGCCTCCCTAGTAGCTGGGATTATAGTCATGTGCCACCACCAGCCAATTTTGTATTTTTAGTAAAGACAGGGTTTCTCCATGTTGGTTAGGCTGGTCTCGAACTCCCGACCTCAGGTGATCCACCCACCTCAGCCTCCCAAAGTGCTGGGATTACAGGCGTGAACCACCGTACCCGGCCAATTTTTTTGTTTTTTTTTTTTTTTTTTTTTTTGAGACGGAGTCTCGCTGTGTCGCCCAGGCTGGAGTGCAGTGGCCGGATCTCAGCTCACTGCAAGCTCCGCCTCCCGGGTTCACGCCATTCTCCGGCCTCAGCCTCCCGAGTAGCTGGGACTACAGGCGCCCGCCACCTCGTCCGGCTAGTTTTTTGTATTTCTTAATAGAGACAGGGTTTCACCGTGTTAGCCAGGATGGTTTCGATCTCCTGACCTCGTGATCCGCCCGTCTCGGCCTCCCAAAGTGCTGGGATTTTTTTGTATTTTTAGTAGAGATGGGGTTTCGCCGTGTTAGCTAGGATGGTCTCGATCTCCTGACCTTGTGATACACCCGCCTCGGCCTCCCAAAGTGCTGGGATTAAACACGTGAGCCACTGCGCCCAGCCGCCTACCTGCTTTCTTAGTCATGTGTCTCATTTATGTGTCCTAGCTGGGACCCCTGGAGGCCCTGCACTGGCCCACAGGCCCTGCCTCAGGTCCTCTGAGGGGAGAAGAGACATTCTGATGGTTATCCCCCGCTTTCAGTTCCTGGCCTGTAATTTACCATCTCCAAAGAGCCTCCCTGACAGACATACTTTTCCATAAACACCAAGTATGTTCCCTACCTGCCTCTATTTTTTTTTTTTTTTTTTTTTTGAGACGGGTGCAGTGGCGTGATCTCGGCTCACTGTAACCTCTGCTGCCCAGGTTCAAGCGATTCTCCTGCCTCAGCCTCCTGAGTAGCTGGGATTACAGGCACCTGCCACCCCGCCTGGCTAATTTTTTTGTATCTTTAGTAGAGATGGGGTTTACCATCTTGGTCAGGCTGGTCTTGAACTCCTGACCTCGTGATCCCCCCACCTCGGTCTCCCAAAGTGTTGGGATTACAGGCATGAGCTGCCGCGCCCAGCCCCCCACCTGCTTCTCACTCTAACATTGTGCTCTGAGTGTTTGCTCCAGGGCGTGGTTCCAAGTCTTTATCAGTCTGGGTAGAAGAGTGGAGTTGGCAGCAGTCGAGAGATGGCATGGAGCACAGTTCAAACACAGTTCAAACAGTAGGCGGGCCTCTGAATAATAACCCATAGTGTATTTGCGGCCTACAAAGCACTTTCTTTTTTCTTTTGTCATTATTATTATTATTATTAGAGACAGAGTCTCGCTTTGCCGCCCAGGCTGTAGTGCAGTGGCACAATCTCGGCTCACTGCAACCTCCACCTGCTGGGTTCAAGCGATTCTCCTGCTTCAGCCTCCTGTGGAGCTGGGACTACAGGCGTGAACCACCACACCTAACTAATTTTTGTATTTTTAGTAGAGACAGGATTTCACCAGTTTGAGGCCAGGATGGTCTCGAACTCCTGACCTCAGGTGATCCACCTGCCTTGGCCTCCCAAAGTGCTCAGATTACTGGCGTGAGCCACTGCCCATCTGGCCTTCTTTTATTATTATTTATTTATTTATTTATTTATTTATTTTGAGACAGAGTCTCGCTCTGTCGCCCAGGCTGGAGTGCAGTGGCGTGATCTCCGCTCACTGCAAGCTCCACCTCCAGGGTTCACGCCATTCTCCTGCCTCAGCCTCCCGCATAGCTGGGACTACAGGCACCCACCACTATGCTCAGCTAATTTTTTGTTTTGTTTTGTTTTTTTGTTTTTAGTAGAGAATGGGGTTTCACCATGTTAGCCAGGGTGGTTTTGATCTGACCTTGTGATCCGCCCACCTCGACCTCCCAAAGTGCTGGGATTACAGGCGTGAGCCACCACACCCGGCCTATAATTTTTTTAAATTAGTAGAGATGGGGTTTTGCGATGTTGCCTAGGCTGGTCTCAAACTCCTGAACTCAAGCAATCTGCCTGCCTCGGCCTCCCAAAGTGCTGGGATTACAGGTGTGAGGAATCACACCCAGCCACAAAGCACTTTTACATTTTTTTATTTTATGTGACCTTTACACAATCACTGGGAGTCAGGGCTAGGATTATCCCCTCATAAAGGTGAGGACACAGGCTCAGAGAGTCAAAGGCTGAATAGACAAGGGGAGAGACACAGAGCTCCACTGATAATCACTGGACTCTGGATTCCACCAAGCCTTTGGAACCTTCCAGCCTCAGGCCTCCACAGCTTCACAGAAACTGGGCAAGTCTTAACTCTCTAAGCTTCTGTCTTCTCACCTAAGCATGTTTTGTACTCACCTCCCAGGGTGGTTAGGAGGATAATGAGGGAATGTCTTGGCCTACACATAAGTGCACCATCAATGGTACCTAAAAACGTCAACAGTTCCAGACACTGTCTCCAAAGAAGGCTCTGGGGGGGATGCAGACATGTAGCGGACAGGTTCTTGTTCTCCAGGGGCTTTGCAGGTCCCTTGCAGAGGCAGCGTTCAATCCTGCCAGCTGTGGCAGGACACTTTCCTGTCCAAGGGATTGGCTTCCGCTGATGTAGAATAGACGCTATGAAATAGCTACCAACCCAGGGCTTGCCACGAAGCCCCATGAAGGTGTTGCACTAATAATATGCCTTTCTTTTTTTTTTTTTTTCTTCTGAGACAGATTCTTACTCTGTCACCCAGGCTGGAGTGCAGTGGCACGATCTCAGCTCACTGCAACCTCTGCCTCCTGGGCTCAAGCGATTCTCCTGCCTCAGCCTCCCAAGTAGCTGGGACTACAGGCGTGCGCCACTATGCCCAGCCAATTTTTGTGTTTTGAGTAGAGACGGGGTTTCACCATGTTGGCCGGATGGTCTCGATCCCCTGACCTCGTGATGTAACTAGTATTTCTTATGCCCTTATTTTGTGCCGGGCACAGGGCCTCACCCATTATTGGCACTCAGTAAGGATTCGTGGGATTAATGAAAAGTTAACCTGAATCTTCAACAAAGGCCCCAGAGCTTCCCTGGAACGGACTGGGGCTCCGAGAGGTGGACTGTGATGCGCCCCTGGAAGACCTACGAGTGGGCCTGCAGAGCTGATGGGGAGGGTTCAGGCAGGGCCAGGGACTTAGAGGAGCTGAGATTAACGTCACCCCCTACCCACTGACCCTCTCCAGGCGCTGGGGCTGTGGAGACCCGGAGTCGCCACAGCTCCTACCCCGCGGGGACGGAGGAGGACGAAGGGATGGAGGAGGAGCCCAGCCCCTTTCGGGGCCGCTCGCGCTCCGCGCCCCCCAACCTCTGGGCAGCACAGCGTTATGGCCGCGAGCTCCGGAGGATGAGTGACGAGTTTGTGGACTCCTTTAAGGTGAGCGCCGGACCCCCGCGTGCCAGGACCTGCAGTCCCAGGCCGCCCCGCGCCGGTCTGTCCCTTCCTTGTCCCAAGGCACGTCCGGATCTGATGTCCCACGATCCCTCCCCAACGCCGTCCTGCCCCTTCCTAGCTCCATAGCATTATGGGATTTGTAGTCACAAGACCTCCCTCTAACCCCCCCCCCCAGCTCTTCCGTTCCAAGTCCCAGAATTCCCCCCTCCTGGTGGTTGGATGTGGGGGTATGTGTGTGTGTGTGTGTGTCACAGGGCATGCTGGGACGTGTAGTCTAGCTCCCACTCCAGGCCAAAGCTCTTGGATTCCCCGAATTCTTGGAAGACTAGGCATGCTGGTATTTGTGCTCCTTGCTGGCACCTGTGCGCTCTGTCACCCAGGCTGGAGTGCAGTGGTGCGATGACGCCTCATCGCATCCTGGAACTCCTGGCCTCAAAGGATCCTCCCGCCTCAACCTCCCAAAGTGCTGGGATTACAGGCGCTCACCACCACTCCCGGCCTTTTGATTCTTGAATTGCGGTCCCATCTTCTGGGTGCTAGGTCTCCAGCTCTGGCCTTTCCATTTAGGGCCCTAGGCATCCTCTCTTCCCGTCCCCGGCACGGAGTTCCTGGGATCTAACCAGTTCCCATTCCTGGGGGCCCGTGCGTCCTCCCGAGCGTCCCTGACCACCCGGCGTGGAGCCTCCTGGGAGTTGTGGCCTTCATTATCTCCCCCCGATCTCAGTTAGAGGAAGGCTCACGGAAGTGGAGAGCCTGGCACCAGCTGCCATGGTAATCTAACTCATGTAACTCTTTTCTCCCACAACCCGGAAGGGACTTCCTCGCCCGAAGAGCGCGGGCACAGCGACGCAGATGCGGCAAAGCTCCAGCTGGACGCGAGTCTTCCAGTCCTGGTGGGATCGGAACTTGGGCAGGGGAAGCTCCGCACCCTCCCAGTGACCTTCGCTCCACGCCCGGAAACTCCACCCGCTCTCACTGTCCTGGTCGGCCATCTTGGATATGGGCGGAAGTGCTTCCCTCAGGCCTTATGCAAAAGAGGATCCGTGCTGCCTCTTTCGGTGGGAGGGCTGACCCAGATTCCCTTCCGGTGCATGTGAAGCCGCAGAAGGCTTGGTCCCATGGGAAGTTTTGGGTTTTCCGCCCATAGCCGCCAGAAGTGGCTCGTGGCCCCGCCCTCCGGCTCCGGGCTACCTCCCCAAGTGCCTGCGCCAAGTCGTGAACCAGGCTTAACCGTTGCGTCACCCGGACCCGAGTCCCCGCGATGTCCCGCGGGCCGCGCTCACTACTAAATGTTAATAAAGCCCGCGTCTGTGCCGCCGAGCCTTTTCTGTGCGTCGACTGGGGCTCCGCAGGCCGGGTAGTGCTCTCACGGATACTTTCAAAAGAGGCCGCTGTCTTACGAGGGATATAGGCTTTGCCTGACATCCGCGACAGAGACGGAAGGGGTCGCGGCGGCTCGCGGGCCAGGGCTGTGAGGCCCAGGTCCAAGTCCCCAGCACGCGCATTGGGACCGCAGCGCTGCCGGCCGCCGAATCTCGCGCTTTGTAAACCGCGCCGCGGCCCCCCAGGGAGGGTCACTTGCTCCTATTTGGGTCAGCCCTTATAGGACTGACCTAGCTGGGTCAGCTACTGTATGGCCGGCCCGGGGGCCTGGCAGACCGCGCGGGGCGGGAGGGAGCGGCGGAGCCAGGCTGGCAGCAGCCCGGTCGCTGGAAACCGAGGCTTCACGCAGGGACCCGAACAGAGCGGGGGCTCCGTTCCAGAAAGATTTATTGGACCCCCCTGTAACCCGGCCCGGTGCTTCGTGCTGGGCACAGAGATCCGTTGCGCGACGGCCCTGCTCTCGGAAGCTCCCGAGGGCCCGAAGTCGGCAGGGCAGTCGGAGGGCTTCAGGGAGGAGGCGGCTAGAGCCGCTACCTGAAGGTGAGGGTGAGGGTCATCCCTCCCGGCGCAGGGAGGAGTGGACCCATGGAAGGACAGGGGAGCAGTAGAGGCCAGGCTTCCGAGGGGCTGGAATGTCACACCCAGGAGTTAGCAATTTAGCTGGTGTCCTTCAGTGGACACCAGCTAGTCAGGAAGATGGGAGTTGGCTGCTGAGGAGCCTGGATACGGAATACACTGGAGTGAGCAGAACTAGGGGATAGGGCAGGGCCCCACAGCAGAAGTGAGGAAGTCTGGGGCCACTGCACTGACCCTGAGGGAGGAGGGCCCTACTCCGGAGCCTATTTCCCTGGCCTCCCCACCCCATCTGTTTGCCTGAGGCTGCAGCAAAAACAAAGCAGAGAAGATACTCAATTGGCAGGAGATAAGCCCAGATAAGAGGCCTCCTTCCCCTGGAGGAGGGATGCAGGCGGGCAGCCTAGGAAGAGCCAGGAAGCTGGGAGAGGCCTTGAAGAGGTGCCAAGCCGACCCTGCTTCGAGCCCAGCCCCGCCCTCGAGCCCGCACTGTGGGCTCTCCGCGACTTTTCGCTGGTCTTGAGGCATAGGACAGGTCCAGGCTGGCTGAAGACAGTCCACCACGGAGGGTCCAGGCCCGCCCTGCCTCCAGGTCAGGACATCTTGATTTAGCTGTGGCCTGGCACATGAGAGATGGCTCCGGGCCTCAGTCTCCTCATCTGTAAAACAGGCATAATATCTCCCTCACAGGGATGAGGGTATGCTGGGTGGCCCAGCCCCTGCGTGTCTGTGACTGTCCACTTCCCTTCCCCCAGGGTCACAGGCAGGCCTACTGCCCACCTCTCTCTGAAGACCCCCGTCCCCTGGCGTTGGGCAGGTTCTGAGCTGCCCTGCTCCACCCTGGCTGATCCATCACCCGATAGAGTCAACTGCCTGTCGGGGGCCCAGAGCAGCCCGGGTGGAAGATGCTAGGCGTTTGGGTCATATCAGGCCACAGGAAGCGGGGCAGGGAAGGCTTCCTGAAGCAGAGGCCCGAGCCTCAGCGAAGAGAGAACAGGGAGAGCTTCGGAGAGATGAAAGTCGTGGGGATGGAGGAACAGGAACAGGGAAGCTCAGCAGACTCGGCAGGGCAGGCTCAGGTTCAACCCAGCAGTCCTTGGCTGGAGGCGTGCCCTCAACCCCACCAAACACCCAAAGCCCATTTTACAGATGAGGAAACGTACAGAGTCCTCTCACCCCAAATCACACTGCACACAGGGTCCCTGAAATCCACTTTTATTCATGTAAAAAAAATCCCCAAAGAATAGAGAAAAAATGTGACACCTACTTCCTGAAGCTCCAGCAGCTCTCCCAGGGAAGGGAGGAGACACTGCTACCTCGAGGGTGTGGGTGTCACGAGGAGCAAAGCCCTGACCAGGGCCCTAACCTAAGACTGAGGGCAGGAAGGAGGGGCCCCAGGAGGATGAAGGGAGTTAGCTCAGGTACTTGCCCCAGGTTTAAAAAAATAAAATTTCTAGATAAAAAGTTAAAAAAAAAAAAGCATTAGTGTCGTTGCCTCCTGCCCTCCACCCAGCGCCCACCCTGGCCCTGTGGCCACCTCTTGCTCAGCCAGTTCAGAGCTGCGTGTTCTCCTCCTGGCTCTCCGAGTCAGCGCCCGACAGGTGCCCGCTGCTCCCAGGTGCGTGACCGTTGCTGGCACAGGCCACCAGAAGCCCATCCCCCAGCCCCTCCGGCATCTCGCCCAGCAGGCTCCTGCGGATCTCCTGGGGGAGCCTCGCCCGCTGCTCCTGACACTCCTGGGCCAGCTGGGCCAGCAGCTGTGGGAGGAGGACGGGCATCACAGGCGAGGCCTGGCTGCCTTGCACCCCATCTGCCCGCCTGTTCGCCCATGGCCTCACCTTGGGCTCCTCTTCTGCCAGCTGTTGCAGGACCTGCTGCTGCCCAGCCACAAGACGGTCATGCCGCTGCTTCTGGGCCTCCTCCAGCTACAGGGGTGGGCAAGGGCTCAGCTGAGGGGCCCTGAGGGGCTAGGGCCTCGAGGCTCTGGCTGGGTATAGAAGTCAGGTGGGCAAGGCCAGGCGCAGTGGCTCACACCTGTAATCCCAGCACTTTGGGAGGCCGAGGTGGGCAGATCACCTGAGGTCAGGAGTTCCAGACCAGCCTGGCCAACATGGTGAAACCCCATCTCTACTAAAAATACAAAAATTAGCCAGGCGTAGTGGCGGACGCCTGTAATCCCAGCTACTTGGGAGGCTGAGGCAAGAGAATTGCTTGAACCCAAGAGGCAGAGGTTGCAGTGAGCCAAGATCGCACCACTGCACTCCGGCCTGGGTGACAAAGTGAGACTCTGTCTCAAAGAAAAATAAAGGAAGTCAGGTGGGTGAAGGCTCCCAGGGTGATGTATCAGGTTTGTGAAAGGACCAGGCCCAAGGACACCAAAGCCAGGGGCACTGGTGCAGACAGTTGGCTTTGGGTATGAAGCGGGTACCCTGGAGCTGTTGGGCACTCGAGAAAGGCTCTAGAAGAACTTTGAGGGCAACGTGGCACCAGGCCAGGCACGGAGAAGGGTGTCTGATGAGTGAAGGAAGGGACGTGGGGTAGGGTGGCCCAGGAGCCCAACTCACCCGACGGATGGAGTTGACTGACTCAGTGATGTGCCGACGGTTAATCTCCGTCAGTTCCCTGCACAGGAGCAATGCAGGATGGCTCGGGGCCCAGACACCCGCCCTGCCTCCCCAGTACCCAGGTGGCCCCCGGCCCCGGTGCCCTTACGCCTCCTTCTTATGCTTGTCCCTCGTCTTGGCCTCCGAGATGCTGTTATGGCGCTTTCTGTCCAGGATCTTCTGCAGTTCCTTCTTTTCCCTTGAGAAGCCAGCAGGGAAAAAGGAGGGGTCAGCGGCAGAAGCACAGACTCTGCCTTCCTTCTGTATTAGAAGTCCCCAGCCCTTCCCATAGACCATCCTAGGCCTTCACCTCTCGTTCATCTCTTTCAGCCTCTTGAACTGAGTTGTGTTTGCATCAAGGACGACCTCCCTGAGCCGCTGCAGAGCCTATGGACACAGGGAGCCGACAGGTGATGCCGGGTCGATGACCAGTCTATCCAGGAGGCTTTCCCTGGCCACTGCAGGCCTCCTACCTGTCTCAGATGCTCCAGCCTCCGCTGGGCCTCTGCGTCCACCTGGGCCTCCCGCAGCTCCAGCAGGCTCTGCACCTGTCTGTTCTGGAACTCCTGATACCGCTTTGCCTCGTCCTCCCCCTCCTTCGTGTCCTCCACATCAGCGGCCCCGCCTCTGCGAGGAGAACCCCTCTGGGTGATGCTTGGGTCCGTCACATGAACTGGGATGGGGAGGGTGTTGGGGGGGCACACCCCGGCAAGCGATGGCAGACACCACCCCATGGGGCCAGGTCTGTTATGCAAACCAGGAGGCCTGTTAGCTCCACACAAGTGATGGGAGCCTGTTTGGGCAACACGCTCCTCATGGACTTCAAAAGAGATGTCACTCCCTGGGGGACACGGAGGTGCCTGGTGTGGAAAGCCTCCTCCATCCTTGCACCCGAACCCTCCTCCCTGGGGGTCAAGGAGCGGCTCTTGCCATCTCTCCATGCCCACCGACCCCCATGTTCACTTCAGTGCACCCAGCACACATAGCACACAGGCGGCCCAGACACTCACAGGGCACCTGGCCGCAGCCGGCACCTGCCCTCAGCCTGTGCCTGAGCCAGGCCATCCAGCAGGCGGCGGGTGAGGGTGACTGCCTTCCGCTGATGCTTCTTGCGCAGCTCCCGCAGGTCTCGCTCTTGCCGGCTCTGGAGCTTGACCAGAGCCTTGTGACCTCGGAGCTCATCCAGCGGGGTGGGGGCCACCTCTGGGAGTGGCAGAGGAAAGGTAGGCGGGGGGTGGGGGAAACTGCAAGGCAGCCCCCCGGCCTCCAGGTACCCTGCCCCCTACCTGAGAGGATGCTGGCGATGAGATCGTCGCGCTGCCCTAGGGAGCAGAGGCCCTGTGAGGAGCTGAAGGACAGGGTGGTGGGGCACCTCCCTGCAGCCCACCCCTGACCCGAGCTGCTCCTTACCTGGGCTGCTGAGGGAGGTGCTGGCAGGGGAGGCGGTGGGGCCGGGGGGCCGGCGGGGGGAGGCATCCAGTGGGCTAGGGGTGGGGTTTGGGGACAGCTGAGACCCCAGCTGCTGAGACTGGGTGTCCTGGCACATCTCTTGGCCAGCCTGAGCCTATAGGGAGAAAGGAGAATGCTCTTTCCAGAAATGCTGTTCCCTCCAGACCCTTCTGTCCTCTACCACCTCCCGGGGCCCCTAGCACCCCTGGCAGCTTCCCTTAGTCCAAGCCACTGCTGGGCTGCTCTGTAACAGGAGGCTGTCTGCATGAAAAGAGCTATAAATCAAGCCTTTCTAAACCCCTTTTCCACATGGGCTGTGGGGAAGATAACATAATGCCAGCCCACTGCATGCGCTCAGGAACACCCAGATTGTTCTGGAAAGGCCTGGCCCAGCCCCAAGCCTCCTCTCCTCCCCTGCCTGTGTCCCCCAGGCTTGCCTACAGTCGCTCATTTTCCTTGCTGCTCAGCTCCTGATTAAATCAACAGAGGACTCCACCAGCCGCAGAGTGGGCACCAGCCTCTCCACTAACAGCTCCGGGCAGCCCTAATTGCAGTCATCTCTCCCTGCCTGCCTGCCACAGGCCCCGGGGGGACTGGGTCTGGAAGCACAGGTGAACCTCTGAGCCTGACCCCTCCCCACGGAAGCCACTGCCCTCCTTATGGCTCCCAGGACACCACATATGAACAGCTTCTGTGGCTTCGCACTGCCCTGACAAAGTGAGTGGGACCCCTGTACCCCCACTCGGAGCCTGTATAGGCTGGAGGAATTCCAGCCCAGGTCTGACCTGAAGGCATCCTGAATGCAAATGGGTGGTTTTCATCTCCTCAAAATCCCAGGGCTGCCAAGCCTATTGCACTAGAGAGACCAGAAGCCTCCTCCTCACGTGGCCACAGCAGTCGTGTCCAGCGGCCCCCTGGGTCACAGTGAGCCTGAGCCCTGCCCTGCCCCGGCTCACCTCACTCTCCCCAATGAGGGCGGCCAGCTGCCGGGCCCTCTGGTCCATCAGGCTGACGTGCTTAATGGGGTTGATCAGGGCCTCCGCGTAGTCTGCGGGGAGGCAGAAGGCCAGGGTCTCAGAGACAGGCCCCCAGGCCACCCCCACCCGCCAGCTCTGGTCACAATGAGGAATTCCAGAGCTTGTCCTTGGATCTGTGGATCTGTTCCCCACTCAGTCGGGGCCATCCAGCTCGGCAACTCCCAGACCCTGGGGATGGCCCTTGTCCCTCACACTCCCTGGCCAGGCCGGCCCTGCCCACCCCCAGCTCACCCTGGTGGTCATCAGGAATGTAGTCCGAGGCTTCAGTGTAGATGAGCAGGGCCGGAAGGCACAGCGGCTGGTTGGCCTCGTTCCGCAGGCAGACATAGTGGTACCCTGGGTGGGCAGGAAGGCAAGGTTGGGTTGCTAGGCCAGGCGGGGGCCCTACCCACTGCCCGCTGTGCTTCCCAGAGCCCACCAAGGCCTCACCAGAGCGGATGGCAGAGACAGGCAGGATCCGGTGCCCTACAAATTTACCCCCCTCCTCAAAGGCTGCGATTCGAAGTGAAGCCAACGTAGGCAGCACCACCTGTGGGCCAGACTGGAGCTGAGCCACGGGGCTGACCCTGAGCCACCGTGGCTACCAGGCCACAGCTAACCACAGCCATCAAAGCCTAACAGAGCAGACCTTCAGACAAGCTGGCCTACTGACCATCAGTCACCATTGCCACTAAGCTGATGGCTGACCCCAACTCCATGGCCTGGCCTAATGGATGACTATAGCCATCAGAACCCTGAGGCAAGATGACAGGCAGCCAGGCCCCTTCAGGGCCCCCACAGACAGTTCTGGTCATCGCCAGTTTAGAAACGCGAGTGAGCCATGAGCAGGAAACCAAGAACGCATGCGCCTAGGTTGGGAGCAGAGGCCGCGTCCATGCAGGGCCGTGCAGGGTGCGGAAGAGCGGATATGAGCTTGGGGTTGTGACCTCAGCTCCTGCATCCGAGATGGGGCAGGCTGCGTTCACTCCTCGCAGAGGATACAAGATCTCTAGCTGACACCCCCCAACCCCATCTCACCTTCTCACCCTGGTGTCTTACCCTGAGGAGGGCAGGGAGCCTGACGCTCGGACAGGCAGGTCCTGGGGGACCCATGGTGCCCCCCGCTTTCTGATCCCCAGTCGCCAACAGTGTGCTTGGTTTTTGTTCTCCCACCCGAGAACCGGGGCGGTCTGTGCTGGATCTGCCCTGTGCCTGAGCAGGTGCGGGGGCCAGGCTCACCTTGGGGAAGTCGAAGGGCTCCTCATCCCACACGGGGTTGAACGAGTTCCCCTGAGAGGTCCGGGTGCGGTACTTGCGCCGCGTGTCAACAGGGAGGCCAAACATGTCCACCTCCACGTAGATGCCCACCTTCCTGTCGGATAGGAACTGCCCCGAGATCACCTGGGGGGTGGGCCAAGGAAGGTGAGGCAGATGCTGAGAGTCCTGCCCCCAGGACATCCCTGGCCTGAGCACCCCCAGGCCCCACCTTGACCCGCAAGGCATTGGCCACGATGCCATCCACGATGACCTCAGTGAAGGGGTCGAAGGATTTGTCAGGCCGCCGCATGAACTCCGGCTTGAGCAGGTACCCGCTGCGCCCGTTGTACTCAAAAACGCCCGCATTGAGCTGCATCGCCACATCTGGGGTGCCATGGGCCAGTCGAGCAGGGCCAGGGATCAGGCAGGACGGTGCCATGTGGGGAACGGGAGACCATCAGGTCAGATGGCATCCAAGGTCCAGGGGCAGGGGTGGGCTCAAATGGCATCAGGGTCCGGATCCAGGACAGATCAGACAGGGGAGGGGTCTGGCATCAGCCAAGGGCAGGAGGCGGGTGAGTCGGGGGCTGGGATCCCCTGGGATCTGGGATTAGACAGGGTCAGAGGTCTGTTCAGGCAAGACCAGCAGGATCATGGGTCAGAAGTCAGTAAGACTGAGGGTCGGGATCAAGATGGAGGGGGCCAGGGCTCACCGAGGGTCTGGAAGTTGAGCGCAACAAGCTGGCACCCTACGTTCCAGAAGAGCTGGGGCATGTAGTTGGAGGAGTCCACGCGGGTGCCCTTGGGGTAGATGCGGCTGAGCTGCTGCTTGTTGTATCTGAGGTTGGTGGTCAGGGGCCACACAGGTGCCAAGGCCCACCCCATCAGCCTTCACCTCCGGCCTCAGCCAGGTGCTCCTGTGACTCCCACACCCAGCCTCCATTTCTCAGCCTAGCCATGCCCCCTGAGACTGCCTGGACCTGCCCAAGCCACAGGCCAGGGTGCAGGAGGGCCGCCAGAGGGCCAGCACCCTGTGCAGGTGGCACACGTGGGGACAGAACACTGCAGCCAGCCTCCAAGCGCCCCACTCTGGCCTGCCCGCCCACAGCACCTTCAAAGGATACTCCACAAACTCCATGGGGCTCTTGGTCAGTTGCTCCATGGCCTTGGTCTCCACGAAGGACGACATCTCGAAGCATTTGTTCCTCTCTTGGGGTGAGCCAAGAGACGGCATCAGACCTGGCAGGGCTGAGCTGGGCAAGCTCCCATGGCTGCCACCCACCCCTACTCACTTCGAGCAGCTTCAAAGGACTTGAACTTGACAGGCTCGATGTAGTTGACAAGCGTGGACATCTCCTCAGTGGCATTCACCTCGCTGCTGGCCGTGCCCTGTGGGCCCCAACCCAGGGTCAGCAGTGCCACTCCCGCCACAGCTGGCCATTCCCTCACCTGCCCCCCATGAAGGAGGTGCTGACCCTCTTCCCACCACTATCCACGCACTGCTGGTGATGCCAACAATCTTCTTCCCAGGGTCTCACTGATGCACCCTGGACACCACCTGGCTCAAGCAATTTTCCTGCCTCAGCCTCCCAAGTAGCTGGGATTACAGGCGCCCACCACCTTGCCCGGCTAATTTATGTAATTTTAGTAGAGAGGGGGTTTCACCATGTTGGCCAGGCTGGTCTTGAACCTCCTGACCTCAGGTGACTCGCCCACCTCGGCCTCCCAAAGTGCTGGGATTACAGGTGTGAGCCACCTCGCCCAGCACATATAGGTGTTAAAATTATTACTTTTACTGAATCATTTGGGAGTAAATTACAGACATCATGACCCTTTACCCATAAATACTTCAGCATATATGGACATTCTCTTATATAACTCCAATACAATAATTAAATTCAGGAAACAAAACATTGACATATTATCTAATATGTAGTTCATCTTTAAATTTCACTAATTGCCCCAGTAATTGTCTTTATAGCAATGTCTTTTTTTTTTTTTTTTTTTTTTTGAGACAGAGTCTCCTTTTGTAGCCCAGGCTACAAAATCGTAGCAACGGCGTGATCTCAGCTCACTGCAAGCTCCACCTCCCAAGTTCAAGGGATTCTCGTACCTCCACCTGCCGAGTAGCTGGGATTACAGGTGTGAGCCACCATGCCCGGCTCAGATTTTTTTGGAGACGGAGTCTCGCTCCGTCGCCCAGGCTGGAGTGCAGTGGCCAGATCTCAGCTCACTACAAGCTCCGCCTCCCGGGTTTAGCCATTCTCCTGCCTCAGCCTCCCAAGTAGCTGGGACTACAGACGCCCGCCACCTCGCCCGGCTAGTTTTTTGTATTTTTTAGTAGAGACGGGGTTTCACCGTGTCAGCCAGGATGGTCTCGATCTCCTGACCTCGTGATCCGCCCGTCTCGGCCTCCCAAAGTGCTGGGATTACAGGCTTGAGCCACCGCGCCCGGCCCAGACTGGTTTTTTCTATACCACTCCTCACAGCTACTCAACGCTCCCCGCTCCTGCACCCCCTGGCTCTGCCCTAGGACCTTTGCACATGCTGTCCCCCTTCCTGAGCTCTGCCAGCCCCACCTCCCTGCCCAGGGCTGCCCTCTGCCAGTTCTGTGCCCTAACTCGCACCTCCCAGGCCACATCACCAGGAGAACTGTATGCTTGTTTCCATTCCTGATGACTGAAGACCCCTCCTCCCACCTTCACTCACACCCACACTGAGCCCCAGGGCGCAGGGTGATGTCGGTCTTGGTGGTGGTCAGACCCTCAGCCCCCAGTGGAGGTAATAAACTGCTTGGGAGGTAAATAGATGCTACCTCCCCGACCTGCCCGCCCTCTGGGCCTGACCTCATCTGTGGTCGGCTTTTTGGGGTCTGTCTGCTCCTCCTCTTCCTCATCTTCCTCCTCATCCTCACGGTCAGCAGGTCCAAGAGCATAGGGGCCCCGGTTCAGGCCCTCCTCACCCAAAGACTTCCGAGGCTCCAGGCTGGGCTTCTCAAGGGCCCCCTCCTCCCCGTTGCTCAGGCCTGGGCAGCTGTCAGAGCTGGGCGACCCTGCAGAGGACAGGGCCACAACGTCAGGGGTCAGGACCACACAGCTGCTTAGGAAGCGTGGAGGGGTTTTTCCCAGTGTGTGCAGGTGACTCAGTGGGGAATTCAAGGGGTACTCTCAGAGAAGTGTGGCTTGGGGAGAGGCCAAGAGGTCAGGGGTCAGACAGTATTAAATCCAGTAGTGGTTGAGAGGGGTCATAGGTCAAAGGTAAAGGTCTGGGGTGATATTCAGCAGGGAGGCAGATAGGGTGGTTCAGTAGGGTGAGAAGTCAGGAAGTAGGGTACCACAGCCTTAATAGCGGGGTAAGAGATGACACAGAGGGGTTACAGGTCACGGGTAAGTCAGAGCCATGTCTAAGGAGGGGGCATAGTGAGGTGAATCGTCAAGGGTAAGAGGTCAGAGGTGAGCTGAAATGATAACTAACTGGGCAGGTGGACTCAATGCAGCTCAGTGAGGCATGCACCTGAGGTCAGGGGTCAGAGGCCCCACACCAGCCAACAGGTGGTGAGGAGAGAGGCCAGTTGTGGGAACAGGTGCACAGCGAGGCGGGAGGGTGGGCTGGGGGTCTGGGATGAAGTGTCACAGCGCCGACAGCATGAGGCCAGAGGCTGGGGTCAGGTCAGGGTGGCGGGCCAGGCTGGGGCCTACCAAGCTGCGGGGAGGAGGGCTCAGTGGCAGCGGAGCTCTCGCTCAGGGCCGAATTGCTCTGCTCCAGCGGCCGCTTGCGCCCGGCGCTGTCTGGGCCACCTGTGCTGGGTCTGTGCCGCTTCTTGTTCTTCACCAGGATACGGCCCATCAGGTCCTGGGGGCTGGGCAGGGGAACACCTGGGGCCAGCTGGGCAGGCATGGACGAGTCAGGGCCCTGGACCAGGTCCACAGCACCGTGGCCCGCATACCCCCACCCTCGCTCTGAGCCCCCGTACCGGGTACTTGTCCAGAGGCTCGATGAGTAGCGCATCTCCAAAGATGGAGCGGCAGTACTCAGCCATCTTTGCCTGCTGCTTTGCCCTGCGGAGCCGAGGTCAGAGATCAGAGGTCCCTAGGGGAAACTGGGGTCTACAGGACAGGTCAGTGGCGGTTCACAGGGTTGGAGGTCCCTGAGCAGTCCAACAGCGCTGAGGCGGGAGGGCTGTCCCTGGGTCCATGGGGTTTCATGCCAGGGGCTCACTCACGAGTCCACGTGGTTCTCAAAGGAGAGGATGACGGGGTAGGGCGAGGTCTTGAAGGCAGTCTCGGCAATGGCCTCCAGCACGTCGCGCAGAGGCACCTCCGTGGTCATGGTGAAGCCATGGGTGATGAAGGGTTCCTCCTCGGGCGGCCGTCCTTTCCACACATCCAGCTCCACACAGCGGCAGCCCCACAGCAGCACCTGGCGGTACATCTCCACCGACGAGGTCCCGGCCAGCTGCCCAGCTAGGGGCAAGGCTCTGTCACCAAGGCCGCCCACCAGCCCAGCTCCTCACCATCCCGGCCCCACCCGGAACCAGGCCATGCTGGATTTGCAGAGGGCTCTCCATCTCTCAGATGGATACCCACCACCTGACCATCCCACCAGCGTGAGCTGGGGGAGTCATCCCCGAGGCTCACTATAGCTCCCCACTGACTCAACAATCGCCCCTCTCCTCCCTCCCTCCACCCATCTCGGCCCTGGCACAGCTCACACCACTTCCTGTGTGGAAGGCTCAGGCCTCCCTGCCTCCAATCCAATCTCTCTGTCTTTGTTTTTTTTCTGAGACCGAATCTCACTCGGTCGCCCAGGCTGGAGTGCAGTGGCAGGACCTTGGCTCACTGCAACCTCCGCCTCCTTGGTTCAAGCGATTCTCCTGCCTCAGCCTCCCTAGTAGCTGGGATTACAGGTGCCCACCACTATGCCTGGTTAATTTTGGTATTTTTAGTAGAGACAGGGTTTCACCATGTTGGCCAGGCTGGTCTCAAACTCCTGACCTCAGGTGATCCACACACCTCAGCCTCTCAAAGTGCTGGGATTACAGGCGTGAGTCACTGCTCCTGGCCTGAATCCAGTCTCTACAGAGCACCTGGCATCATCCTTCTAAGAACATATCATATCAGATCACATCACCTCTTCTGCTTCACCCTCCAAAAGGCCTCTCCCTCCCACTCAGGATGAATCCAAGTGCCTCTGGGTCCCTGGGCCTAGCTTGCCTTGCTCTCCCTCTCTTAACAGGCACCTATCCCCAGCACTCTGCACCCTGCCCCCTCCAGCTTCCTTTCTGCTTTTTTTTTTTTTTTTTGAGACGGAGTCTCGCTCTATCGCCCAGGCTGGAGTGCAGTGGCTGGATCTCAGCTCACTGCAAGCTCCGCCTGCCGGGTTCACGCCATTTTCCTGCCTTAGCCTCCCGAGTAGTTGGGACTACAGGCGCCCGCCACCTCACCCGGCTAGTTTTTTGTATTTTTTGTTTTTTTTAGTAGAGACGGGGTTTCACCGGGTTAGCCAGGGTGGTCTCGATCTCCTGACCTCGTGATCCGCCCGTCTCGGCCTCCCAAAGTGCTGGGATTACAGGCTTGAGCCACCGCGCCCGGCTCTGCTTTTTTTTTTTTAATTATTATTTATTTAATTTTTTTTTGAGAAAGGGTCTCACTCTGTCACCCAGGCTGGAGTGCAGTGGTGCAATCACAGCTTACTCCTGCCTCAACCTTCCCAGAACCAAGGGATACTCCCACCTCAGCCTCCCAAGCAGCTGGGACCACAGGCATGCGCCACAATACCCAGCTAATTTTTAAAAAATTATTTGTAGAGATGGGGTCATGCTATGTTGCCAAGGCTGGTCTTAAAACCTGGGCTCAAGTGATCTGCCTGCCTTAGCCTCCCAAAGTTCTGGGATTACAGGCATGAGTCACCACACGCAACCCCCTTGCAGCCTCTTAAAAGCACCCTGCAGGCCGGGCGCGGTGGCTCATGCCTGTAATCCCAGCACTTTGGGAGGCCGAGGCAGGCAGATCACCTGAGGTCGAGAGTTTGAGAGCAGCCTGAACGACATGGAGAAACCCCGTCTCTACTAAAAATACAAAATGAGCCGGGCATGGTGGCGCATGCCTGTAATCCCAGCTACTTGGGAGGCTGAGGCAGGAGAATCACTTGAACTTGGCAGGCAGAGGTTGCGGTGAGCCGAGATCGTGCCATTGCACTCTAGCCTGGGCAACAAGAGCGAAACTCCATCTCAAAAAAAAAAAAAATGCACCCTGCAGTCTCTCCTGCTGCAGGCCCTAACACAAGCCATTCCAGTCCTTGCCTGGTAAAGCCACCATGGGGCACGCTCCCGCAGAGAGGCCCCCTGCTCAGGGCCGCTGCCTGTTCCTTGCCTGCATCCCCAGCACTGGCCGATGAATGAGCAAATGGGCCAAAAGGACTGTGACCCAGGAGGAGTGGGGCAATGCAAGGGTTACAGGGCAGAGGTCATGGGCCCCACCCTTGCTCCCCGCTCACCAGTGAGATAGGTGTTATGCGAGGAGTTGATGAAGTAGGCACTCAGCGGCTGGGTCATGTCGGCGCTCAGATCCAGGGCTTCCAGGGGCAGGATGCCGTTCTCCTCGCCTCCCAGGTAGCGGCTAAAGCCCTCCATGGACATCTGGTCTGGGGTGGGAGGGGATCAGCAGGGTCAGCTGGGGCCCCACCTGCCCCCGCCCACCTGCACCCTGGCCAGCTCACCTCGCTCCAGAAACTGCTGGTTGGGCTCATACTTTTCGATGAGCAGTCGGGCCTGGGAGGGCCGCAGCGGCGGGTACAGCACTTCGTTGAGTCTCGGGTCGCGTTGCTTCTGGTTGATGAAGTCCATGAGCTGCTCCAGTGTCAGGTATGGCTTGCCCTTGGCACCTCTGGAGGGGGCAGGAAGCCGGGTGAGGATGGAGCCTTGCAGGGCTCCCATCCCTTCACCAAGCCCTTGCCCTGGGCAAACGAGTCAGAAAGCCTACTCCTGGGTCTGGCACCCAGTGAGTGGGACTCCAGGTGAGTCACGGCCAACCTCTGGGCCTCAGTTTCCCCGTTCACTCTCCTGACCACTCAGGATTGTCAAGGCAACAGACTAGTGGGCACTGGCAATGGCCAGGGCTGAGGAGCTGCCAAGTGGTCAGCCCACCACCCCTTGCTTCCAGACCTCACAACACACCTGAGCCTTGGACCCCATTGCAGAGTGGGCTGATTAAACCAACCCTGGTACAGGGTTAGCCCAGAGCTACCTGTAACTGAGGGGCAGAAATAGCCGCTCTGAGCACAGGCATATCATTGACAGTTTCTCCCCGGGCACTCCCACCCGCCCCCGGCGCTCCAGGACCCGGCCCACCAGTTTCCCCTCTCCCCATTGAGCTAGAGGTGCACTAAGCAAAAGCCAAACACAGAGCACAGGGGTGGGAGGCAGGCTGGGCCCTGCTCACATCTCCAGCAGGATCTTGTCAATGTCCGGCCGCAGACACAGCTTGTTCAGGAACCGCTCAAAGATTTCCAAGGAAAACTCATCAGGCCGGATGGACTCACTCTGGAGGTCAAGGAGTGTGGGGTGAGAGGCCAGGGGCAGCCAGCCCCGGAAGGGTGGGTGCCCACCATGACACCCCACCCCGCCCCTGCCCCCACCCCACACACCCGGTTGAAATTGAGGCCACAGGATTCCAGTGCAGTCTCCACCCGCTTCTTGTCTGCTGAGAACATCTTCAGGATGCTGATGCGGGCAGGAGGGGTTGAGGGTCAGTGGAAGACAAAGGCTACCAAGGTCGGGGCAGGAGGAAGGTGCTGGGGGAAGGGGTGCTCACTTCTTGACGGGGATCCGACCATCCTGGTTCACCTGCAGCTTCAGCTTTGTGTATCTGGGGAGGCAGGTGAAGAGGTCACACCCTGAAAACGGCCACGTGAACCCCCCAGCTCCCCCTCAGGTGGCCTGGGGCTCACGCTTTGCGCAGGAAGGTGTTCCGGGAGGCGTTCTGAGCCAGGATGTTCATAGCCAGCTTGAACAGCTCCTCGGACCAGACCTGGGGGGCCAGTATACACGGGGAGGCGGTGAATGGGGGACAGAGGGGCTGCCCAGCCACAACCCAGGTCCACAACTATCTCTGGTACACAGTAGGTCACAGAGCAGCCTAGAACACAGCAGGTGTTCGGTAAGTGACGGCCAACTCACAGAATAAGACAGTGACTCCCCGCTTGTCCCCTTGGTGCCAGCCCACCTTGGCTGTGTCATCCTGCACGGCCATGAAGTTCAAGAACACTGTGTTCACTGGGTCCGGCCCAGACACCACCGTCATCAGCTTCTCCTCCAGCCGGGCATCGGGACCCCCAAAGCCCAGAACTTCCCGGATCTTGGGGTCCTGAGTAGGTGACAGCGAAGGGTGAGGAGGAGCTCCCAGGCCTCACAGCCTCGCTGTGGTCTTCACTCCCAGGTTCCATCACTCACCTTGGGCAGACGGGCGTACCGGCCTGTCCGTGTGTCCCTGATGGAACTGATGTCCAGTGTGTCCACCTCCTGGGGGGAACCAGATGCCGGGCTGGGTATGAGAGGCTGTAGGGTGACAGCCAGGAGCCTCCAAGCTCCCTACCCAGGCCAGGGAGTGGCCAGCCCCTGGCTATAGCCCCAGCCTCAGCTCCTGCCCTGAGCACTTCCTGTCTGGGCAGCAGTGGGAGAGGTCAGCCTGCAGTGCGGCCCCACCCCCACGGGCAGGGCAGGGGTCTGGGACAGGGGCCTTTGGCCTGAGCGAGCTGCACCAGCGGCCCCCCTCACCATGTTGGGGCCTGTCCAGTACAAGAAGAAGCCACTGGGGTCCACACGCAGGGTCACCAGGTTCCGACTGGAGGTCTCCTGGGGGCGGCACAGGGCAGCAGGGGTCAGGGAGTGAGGGCTGTGGTGCAGGCCTGGCCCCTGGGGCTCTCCCATCATGCACCCCAGAGTTCCTGCCCGTGAGCTAAGACAAAACCTCATCCAGTCCACAGGTCCTGTGTGGCTGCCTGTGGCCCTCAGAACAAAGCCAAGGTCCTAGGTGTGACATTCAGTGTCACACCTGGAAGGGCTCCCCAGCCCCCATCCTGGACTCCATTTCCCCAGAAGTGCTGAGAGCTCTGTGACGGTGACAGCCCCCCTAATTCACCCCACTACAGAATGTTTAAGGCATGAAAGTGAGAAGTCTGACTCCCACTGCCCTTCTGCATCCCTTGGGATACCACGATGACCCCTTGGTCTGCCTCAAAGTCCACTATTCACCTTACCACATCTGCCGGGGTCCTCACAGCTTCAAAGCTCATCCCATCTTACAGAAGAACAGTCCCCCTAGAAGGGGACTCGCCCTACTCTCAGGACAGGGCAGTGAGCTCTTCCTCCCTCAAACAGCCCTGCAGCTGGCAGGGGGCAGGGAAGTGCATGCCAGCACCATTTTCTGAGAAGGGCCCGGTCCCTGGCAAACTCCCAGGGCCACCCCGTGTGACTCAGGACCAGCAGCCAGAGGGACTGTTCTCCAGGGCTTAGACTCAGCCAGGGCCAGACTGACCAAGTGGCTACAGGTAGAACCCTCCTATTCCAGGCTCTTCCAGCCAGAAAAGGACCCCACCTCATGTTGGGCACCACCCCTAAACAGCTGCTCAGTGTCTGGTGGACAATACTGTCATTATCAATACATCTCATATACACACGTCGCCCCTACTGCACACCGGGTACAGTTCTATGCACCTAGCATCTTCGAGCACACAAAGGCCCCCTAACCAGCCTAAGAGATGTGCTGTTGTCACTCCCATTTCACAGATGAGGACACTTAGTTACAGGCACACTTCGTAGCCTGCCCGAGGTCATTGGAGCCAGGACTTGCTTGCAGGCAGTGTGGTTGCAGCGTCCTGTGACCTGGGAAGCAGGGATCGGAGACTCCCAGCTCCTGGCCTCAGCCACACCCCATTGTGGGGCCTGGGATAAGTCTCTGCTCTCCAGACCTCAGTTTCCTTTTCTGGAGAATGGGGATTGCAGCAGCCCCACCCATGGCAGGTTTTGCTTACAAAGTATGGGTGTTCATCTGGGAACAGAAGGGACAGAAGGCCTCAAAACTTTGGGGATGCATAGGCCTCCCCACTTCAGTGTGCTGACACCCAGCCCCGAGCCCCTCTCGGGATTCCCAACCCTACATTGAGTCTGAGGCCCCCCCAGTGGTGTGCGGAGGGGGGAGGGGAGTCTATGGGTACTGCCCCTCGGGTTTCCCCCCAACCTCTCCCCAGAGGTCTGGCTCTCGAAGACAGCCCAGGACCCCTGCTCTCCTGCCCCAAGCCTCTGTCCGCACCCCCCACCCCACCCCCAGGGCCCTCTCCCTGTTCCCACTTCCTTATTTGGGTTTATCACAGTGGAAAGAAAAGAAGAAACTTTTCCCTTCAGGCCAGCCTGGGGGGAGGGGTCTCCCCCAGCCTCTGGGGCACCCAGGCACCCCTCCTCACACACCTGCCGCTTCGGGCCACGCCCCCATCTCCTCCCCCCAGCTCCCACGCCTACCCCGGGGCCCCACCCAGCCGGAAAAGAGCCCAGAGTCTTCCAGGCCCGTGGCCTGACTGGGAAGGAGCCGAGAGGAAGCTCAGGCCGGCCGGGTGGAGGCCCTGGGGAAGGAGAGGCCCAGGGGGCAGAAGAGGGGACCCAGGATGGGGATGGGCAGCCAAAGGTGGGGACACGGGCATTTGGGAAGCACCAGGGGCAGGACAGGGAAAGGGGGGCCAGGATGTATTGGGGTTCAAGATCCCAAGCCTAAGGAGTGGGGAGCAAAGTTCCCAGGGGTGGAGGAACTTGGGGGTCAAAGTCTTCCCTAGGGGGTGACTGGGTGCTCCCACCTGAGCAGGGAGCTGAGCTGGGATCTAGAAGCAGGGCGAAGGGGTGCCAACCAGAATAGGGGGAAAAATGATGAATGGACGAGGACTGTTCAGGCAGGGCACCGGGGAGAGTAGGGACGCCCTGGCACACACCCAGAATGAGGATGCCCCAAGCCAGCCTGGAGGTCAGGGTCCTGCAGCCGGGGAGTCTAGTGCTGGGCAGGGGTCTGGGGACCAGGCCAGGATCGGGGAACCAGAATTAGTCTGGCAGGGAGTGGTGGGAAGGGCGAATGAAAACGGGGGAACGGGGTTTATTGGGGTTCAAAGTCTCTGCGCCAAGGAGTGGAGCCCAGTTTTCCAGAGCTGAGAGACTGGGAGTTGGGGGGACAAAGTCTTCATTACGGAGACGATCGGGGACTTAAGTTTCCGGGGCGCCGCCAGGCTGGGATGAGGGTGGCGCCACGGGCAGGCGAGGCTGGGGTAGGGGTCCCCAGCGACTGGTCGAGCTTGACAGAAAGAGTCCCGGGATTGGCGCGGAGCAGGGGCCCGCACGCTTACCTCGTCCCATTTGATGAACTTACTCCCGCGCCGCAGGGTCTCCACCACGGTAGGCGGCTCCAGCTGCAGCGCGTGGACGCCGGGCTGGGCGCCCGCCATGGCCGGGCCAGGGGCGGGTCGGGGACCCACGGAGCCCTGACGGGGACTGACGGCGCCGCTGCTCCCACCGCCTGGCCCGCTTCGGCCCCGCGGCGTCAGTACCCGCCCGCCAGTCTGTCCCGGACCCACCAGAGCCTCGGCGGGGCCCGGGCGGGGCGGGGACGGGGCGGGGCCTCCCGGGCCCCGCCCCCTCCCGCCGCGTCGGACCCGCCCGCCCCGCGTCGGCTCCCCCTGGCGGCCGGGGCGGCGACTGCAGCCGGAGCAAGGATTGGGGCAGGGGCACGCGAACCGGTCGGGGGCTTTGCCGCGGGGCTCAGCAGGACCTGATTCTTCAGACCTATGGAGGAAGGAGGGTGCTGGGGGCCGAAGTGGCTGTTGGGGAGCAGCTGGAGGAACTGGGTGTAGAGGGCGCTGCTTAAGGCGGTCCGGGATCAGCCCACTGAGGTTTCTGAGCGACGGGGGCTGCAATACCACTGGAGAGCTGGACTTGGGCCGGGGGTCGCCGCAGAGCCCTGTCGCCCACCCTCTTCTGCCGCACTTAGCTGAATGCAGGAAAAGCTTCTCCCGCCCCCCTCTGCCCTGGCTTCGCCTCACCCACTCTTCTGCTGCGCGGTCCCCCCTCCCTGGGAGCACTTAGCCGGCTAATGGGCCTCCCGCCGGCAGGCGCCCCTCCCCCGTCCCTGGCCCAGGGAGGCCGGGCGCCTGCCACCTCCTCTGAGGACCCAAGCATCCTGGTCTTCGAGAGTGGGCCCTAGAACAGCCCCCTTCTTGTTGCCGCAGACTCCCATGACTGGAGCCTGACTGTGAGCCTCTTGGCTGGGAACCGCGGGGGGGACGCTGTTGTCTGCCTAGAGGGGTCAGAAGCTTTGCGGGTGTCCCCAGACAGGAGGGTTGAGGAGGGGCTCTGCAGTGCCTGGCCCACAGCAGGTGCCCTGAAATCTGCGTTCCAGGGATGGGAGCGGGGAAGGCGCATGGGCAATGGGATGGGTGGGGGCTGCAGCCCCTCCCGCAGGGCTTGGCTGGTGGGGGGGGTTCCTGCCTGGGGGCCCCTGTGGGAGCCCCCCCAATACAGAGGCAGTAACAGCAGCAGGTTTAAAGTAGAACTCATCCAGAGGGGCCAGCCAAGTCACCTAGAAACCCAGAAAGAGATGCAGCTGGCTCTGGGGGAGGAGGGGTCAGCGGAGGAGGCGCTCCCCTGCAGGCCCCTTTGCCCCAGGCTCTGAGACCCCCACAAGGACCCCTGCCTGGCCCTGGCCTTCCTCCACACCCCACCAAGTTCTCCATCAAGTCTAACCTAGCAGATCTCCTAGCTCTCAGCCCTGGCCTTGTGGGGTGTGATTACGATCTCCACTTGAGGCCCAGAGAGGGGAAGGGACTTGCCCAAGGTCACACGGCTTCTTAGGAGGATTTCAACCCTCCCACTTCCTGAGGCCCAGGAGCCTCTAGACCTCATTGGGAAAACAGAGCCATGCAAGGTGGAGCTTGGCCTCTGCCCTCACAGGCTGGAGTTCAAGTCCGGCTCTTGCTAGCAGCCTCTTGCTAGTGGCAGAACCTAGTCTCTCTAGGTGCCTCAGTCACCTTGTCCAGAACCTAAAGGTTGTTAGATACATAAGCAAATGGGTGGGACATGAGTGGCTGGAAGCTGTGGGGACACCAGGGAGGGAGCAAAGGGCATAGGTCGGCTCTGGGGCAGGGGAACCTCCAGCCTGTGCCAGGGCTAGCAAAGCCTGGAGCCAAGGCTTTAGCTTAGGGGGTCTCAGCTGTGGGCCCTAGGCCTTGGGCAAGGGTACTTTAGAGAAGCATTGGGCGGCAGCTCCTTGGGGAAAAAAACAGGATAGGCACCTGTTTCCTGGGCTTAAGCCTCTCTCCTCCCCCAACCCTGTGTCTCCGGAGGCCAGGGCAGCCCCCATTACAGGGCTCCTTCCTTCCCAGACACTTCCATCCTTGGTAACGGTAATAGGGTTTCTCAGCAGGCAGTAATGGTGAAGGCAGGAAGCCTTTCCGGACTCTCCCCTTGATTAAGGAGCGGTCTTGACCCACAGGACCCTCCCCAGAGCCTCTGCTTCAATGATGTACTCTAATGGAGGGGGGGCTGGGGCCCTGGGAGGGGTAGGGCCGAGGAGGCCACAGCCTGAGGCTAGAAGGAGGAGGAGCAGTAGTACACTCCAGTCCCAGTAGGGCTCAGGCAGGAGGGCCAGGGCTGGGCACGGGTCCCAACCACAAGAGGTCAGGACCGCAAGCCCCGTGAAGAGGCTCTGGGCAGGTAAATGACTTGCAAACAGCCTCCCAGCCCATGGGGCAGAGCCAGGATTTGAACCCAGTTCTTCTACTCCAAGACTAAGGTTCTGTGGCCCAGCTTCCAAGCAGGTGGCAGGCCAGCATGCCCACCTGCACCAAGTCATCTTGGGTGGATAGCCATGGGAACTGGACAGGAATCTGGGTGTGCCTGGGCATGGCACAGGAGGGGGAAAGAGGGAGTGTCAGGAAGAATGCCTGACCTGTGGACATGGCCGGAGACCTTCACACCAACCCTGAGGGAGGACAGACAGAAAGGTCAGTGCTCAGGGTCACAGCATCTTGGGGGCAGAGCTAGGGCTGGAGGTCCTCATGGCCTGCAGGCCCCACTTCCACAGAAGCTGTTGGGCATTAGGGGCTGTTTGAGGGTCTTCCCCTTTAATCCGTGTGCACCTGCAAGGTGCAAACAATGCTTGGGTTCAGAGGAAGCTGGCCTGGCCTGGTGGGGTGTGGTGGGAAATTTGGACTGGGGTCAAGTGATCCTCCTGTCAGGCCAGGCTTAGGGCAGGAGGCCAGGCCACAGATGGGGCTCCCGGTGGAGAGGGTGGAGCCTGTCTAATCCGCAAGAGTGAGGGTCAGCCCTTCCTCGGGGCCCAGACTGGCTGAAGGGAGGCTGAGGCCAGAGGAGGGGCACAGGAAGGGGAGGGGTCAGCTCACTCTACCCTTCCCTGAACTGAGCCCTGTGAGCCCATTGCCCTTACAATGCCCAGCTTCAGTCTTCTCTTTGTCTCTTCTCTCTGACTGTAGGGCAAAGGAGGAGCCCAACGTCCTGGGTTGGAGTTTGGATGCAGCCCCAGCTGTGTGACCCCGGGGCCAATCCCAATCCATCTCTGAACCCCACCCACTGCAGAGGGCTTCCCCCCACAACATCCAAAGAGTGTCTGTGAGGGGCTGGAGCAGAAACATTGTCTCTCAGATCCAAGACCCTGTTTGGGATGGCACAAGGTGAGCCTGCCTTCCACAGAAATATCCCCCGGGAGCTGCACAGCCTTACTGGGTGGTGTCTACAGGGAGGCGAGAAGGTTGAGTAGAGACTTTGTGTCGGGGGGTTGAGCTACACAGCCTGGGTTCAAAGTCTCATCTCCCGTTTTATCTAGAAGTGCGACTTAATTAACCTCTGTGGTGTAGTAATTGAACTTTCTACGAATTTTCCTATTTAATCTTTGTTACAACCTTCTGAGGAAATGCAGGCACAGAGGAAGCCATTCATTCTTTCAAAATCATTTGTTCAACCAATGCGGCGACCTACTGAGTGTGACATAGTTCTAGGTGCTGGGGTTCAGCGGGAACCAGATAATTTGCCTAATAGCAGTGGATTTGAAGACCATTCAAGCCTGGTGGCACCAGCAGGCCATGTCCAAGCAGGGCTCAGCCCCACGGAACTCACAATCTAAAAGTGGGAGACAGACAATAAACGAATGAATGAGGCCATTTAAAGATGCAGAAAATCAAGTAGAGGAGGGAACGGGATGCGCCGTCCACTTATAGGAGGTGAGCCAGGGCTATGTGAAGGACCGAGGGGCCGCAGGGCTGGGGTGCAGAAACCCCGGCACGGCCCCCTCTCCGCGGAGCCGACTGGGCGGCGGTCCGGACGCACGCTTGTAGGGGCAGCCGCGATTATCGCCTTTATTATTATGAGTCCCGGCCCCCGCACTGCCCAGCTCTTTGCGCCTTAGTTTCCCCCTCTGTGCACACACGGGTCGCGGGGCGCAGAGGAGGCCCCAAACAACTTTGCGCTTCCCGGCCTGGCCGCACAGCGGGGGAGGGGCGGTGCCGGGCGCGGACTCCGTTTCCCACAAGCCCGAGCCCCGCGCCATCTTGCCGGTGGGCGGTGGCTGCCCGGGGTCGGCCGTTCGGGCCGGCCGGGTGCCACCGCTCACCCCCCAGCCCCGGCTTCCTCCGTTGGGGGCGTGGGACCTGCTAGTCAGAGTCTAGGGACCCGGACAGCTCCTGGCCGCCTTCTCCACTCCTACTTTCCCGGGAGCCCAGTCCACGTGTGGGTCCGTGCGGAGCAGCCCGTTTGCCCCTCGCCGGCCGAGGGCTGCAGGACCTGAACATCGGGGACCGCAGCGTCTCCTCACCAGACTCCCTGTCTGCACATGATGTCCACTCCCCTGCATTCTCAGATGGCTCCTATTCTCAGATGGCCTCAATGAGGATAGAATGAGGAAGGGTCCAATGAGGACTAGGGTCCTGGCGTGAGCGCAAATCGTCGTCCTGAGCGCTTAGAACGCCTGGGTTTGGGACTGGAAGGTTGCATTTGGGGGCGATACGGACAGCTAGGCCTCCCCTTGCCTAATAGACCCTCCCCTACCCCTGCCCGGGGGCGGAGTAGGGGAGAGGGGCCCGTAGAGGGGCTGGCCCTTTAAGGGGGTGTGGTCGGGGGGCGGAGGAAGAGCTAGACAGAGAAAGCGCTTCGGCGGCGGCAGCTCGGGCGGCGGCCGCGGGGGACAAAGGGCGGGCGGATCGGCGGGGAGGGGGCGGGGCGCGGCCAGGCCAGGCCCGGGGGCTCCGCATGCTGCAGCTGCCCCCGGGCGCCCCCGCCGCCGCCCTCGCCGCGGAGCCGCGCGGAGCTGAGCCGGCGAGCTAACCCGAGCCAGCCGGCGGGCGTCCCGGAGGCGGCGGCACAGGGAGGGGCCCAACGCGCGCACGTGGCCCCGGCGGCCGCCATGGCGGACAGCGGCACGGCGGGGGGCGCGGCGTTGGCGGCCCCGGCCCCCGGGCCGGGCAGTGGCGGCCCAGGACCACGCGTCTACTTTCAGAGCCCCCCCGGGGCCGCAGGAGAGGGCCCGGGTGGCGCGGACGATGAGGGCCCAGTGAGGCGCCAAGGGAAGGTCACCGTCAAGTATGACCGCAAGGAACTACGG